TTGTTACTACTAGTAAGGCACTTGTTACTAGTAGCGTGGCACTTGTTCCTAGTAGTGTTCTTGTTACTAGTAGTAAGGCCAGGAGCCCCGTTCGTAGCGTCCGACATCGCTCCGTTCGTAGCGATGCCCGAAATGCTCCGTTCGGGGTTGGTCCCGTCCGAGCCCCCCCCCCCTGGCGTCTTAGACGAAGGCCGAGTGCCGAAGCCGCGCCAAGCTCTCCGAAATTGGGGTTCCCCGAAATGATCCTGAATGGTTCGGACTTGAGTGGCTCACCCAACTTGCTCCGGAAACATGTTTTCCATTGTGTTGTAGTTCCTCAATGTTTCGTTCAGGATGACAATCCCATAAACGTTTGCCAATCATGTGAAGTCGGAAACTATTTTCCTCAGAAGTCGGAAACCAATCGAAAACTGAAGAAAGACACCTGTCTTGCCAACATTGACGACAGTTGATGGACATTTTGCAAATAAAGGCCCCCTATCAATGGCGATGTGGGCGTGCCTACATATTTTAGTCTATAGCTCCGCCCAACGGGTAGACCTCTCTTTTTTCCTCCTGTCAGCGGGGTTCAGAAGCGTCCTGGTGGGATCTTCCCTCACCTTCGCAGGGCGAGCCCGGTATCCGGAACTGGTCGATCGCCTGCTGGCGTGGTTGGACTGTGCCTTGGGTGGCGGCGTTTGGGGGAGGTGCCATACCAGTGCAAAGAGGTGAGGATGTCAAGCCAGCTGTACTCCCATACTGTCCATACATGTCCATACTATACTAGGAGGAAGAATATGTTTGGGCCCCTGACTATATGGATCTATATGGTCTGAAGATGAAAGTTGTTGGCACGTGTCGGAGGGGGTGAGGCCTGTAAGCCTGGGTGTTGCGCCAGGTCGATGACCACCACACAAGCCAACAATCATACTAAAGGGTGTACATGCTTGTTTGCTAGCAACAAAAGCATCGCTACAAGGACGCTACTAGTAGCTCCTGGCATTACTACTAGTAACAAGAAGCTACTAGTAACAAAGGGCATTGCTACAACAAGTGCATCGCTGTTACTAGTTACTAGTAGCGATCGATCCACTTGTTACTAGTAGCATGCTTGTTTGCTGGGTATACGGTCTCACACCCTCAAACTCCAGAAGCACCATGAACTTTTCTTTGTGCCAATTGTTTGACACGTTCAATACTCTGCAGCTGGTGTTGAAACTAATGACTGATTTGTCAGTTGGGCTTGGGTGGTTAAGTTGGGTTGCAATGTGTGTGGTGGGGGGAAAAGGCGTCCCTTGGATACATGGCGTTGGTTGGTCCAGGTGGCCGACGCACCGCCGGTCCATCAGGCCCTCCACATGGCTGCCCGGCACAACCATCACAGGATCATCCGCATCTTTGCTCCTCGGACGGCATCCACCAGCGAACCACCCGGTCCAGACAGAAGGCATCGAAGAGTGTCAAAGTGTCCTTTGGAAGGTTCGGGGTGTAGCATGGTGTGCTGGTGTACCCTGCTGAAGGGCTTTGCGATTGGTGGTGGTCGAGACAGTCTGCAGCCACAGGCGCTTCAATGAGGAACAGAGTGGTTGTGGTGGGTGGAGCAACCCATCCAACATTTGTATAACTGGTGGTGAAGCAAAACGACATACGTACCAATGGCAATCATGCCTGTGATGAAACAACACAGCATACCTGGCAATACCATGCAATACCTGACCTGGGTTTAGTATCAACCACCAATCCCATGGTCTTGGGTGATTGATGACTTCTGACCTCTGCGCGTGTTTCTTCATAGTCTTAGTTAATTCCCGTGTGTTTTGGAGTTTCGTTTGCTTTGGCCTGATGCCGATGCCTAGGCCAACAATGGTGCCTCCCAAGAGGCCTTCGATTTTCCGGCGAGTCCCGTGCGCAGTTGTTGCAGGGCGGGCTGGACTCGCGCCCGACAGGCAAGCTAATGTGCACTCTGTGGGCCAAACCCAGTTCCCAGTTGTCCAGCGAGGCTCAGGGTTAACCCAAGAGCAACTTCAATGCTAGCACATTGTGAGGGAGGAACAACCCCAAAAGACAAAAGTATTGTGTATCATTAAAAGCTGTGGCTATTCTGGTTGTTGCATGGCAGAAAGACTTCGAACTTTCACCCCCCGCGTAAGCCGGCCATTATGGAGACCTGTAGCAAAGGAACCTGCCTTAGAGGTCAGGTTGTGGAAAAAGATACCCAACCAATGGGTTCTTGGTCTATCTTTTTAAGGGATTTTTGGGAGGTCTCCCTATTTACTGTAAGACATATACCATCATATACCTATTTTGCGTGAAGAGCTTCTCCAGTTCGAGCTCTGGTTCTCCGGCGCAAACGTCCTTGTGCGCCCGACCTTTCCTGGGCGACCTGTTGAGGTCGCTGTTGGGGATTCGGTTTTCCCAGCGCCCTCGCCTTAGGGAATCTCTCAGGTGTTCCCCGCCAATGGATGTCACATGTCTAGATGGTGTGGGTCGTTCTCCAATTGAGTGTGTTTTTCCCATTGAAGAGGGATTCTGAGTGTTCACCTGCAGGGTCAACACCTCCTGCAAAGCTCTCCCTATTTGGAGGCCAGGTCAACACTAGTCAACACCGCCCAGGCGACCTCCCCCCCAGGGTTCCGGCAGGACAGCCAGTACTTAGATGCCAAGTCCGAGACGCCGCTGCACGTGGCCGCGTGGGCGGGTGCCTTCGAGGTGGGGCGGGTGGGGGGCAACTGGAGGTGGTCAACGGATTGCAAGGGATAGAAAATGGTCCACAGAGTTGCAAACAAATCGATGGTCACAAGGACCATCCCGACCCCTTCTAACTGAAGTGGGAAAATATGGGAAAATGGGTCTCAATGGGTCTGTGTGATTCACAGGTCTTGAGACAGATTTGGGATGCAACAAGCATTTATTCATGTATAATAATGTATTATTATTCTAATTTATTCTATACTTGGCTCATCTTGGATCTATTTGGACATCGTTGCGTCCTCTCCAGCCGTTTGAATTAGAATCTCTGGTCTTCCACTCATTCAATGACTCGTGTTGACTCATGTTCGTGGCATCATGCCGCTGCAGTTCTACTGGGTCTCCCCCGGACTTTGGCTCTCCTGGAGGCTGCCAAGGAGTTGGTCCAGCACTGGCCCCAGTGGCTGTCGCCTCTTGGTGTGATTGGGCGCGATGGCGTGGGAGGCAGGAAGCCGATGTGCAGGCAACATGTGGGTTTGCTCGTTAAGCTTTCAGTGGTGGTTGAACTTTGACACGTTTGCTGAATGATTTGATGGGTGACCCAGATGTTTGGGTCAAGTCCAGGTTCCAGTCACACTCCAACCAGTTCGGGACAACGCGTGCGGGTCGATCGGCGCGCAAGCATGGGTTTGAGTCTAGTGGATCCTGTGAGACTTCGATTCACACTGATGTAGGAGATGTGTTGGATAGGCAAGGGAAAGTCCCTGATACTAATGATGATCTATGATAATACTAAACAACCCTTGGTCGCTCAAAACCTGGAGACCCCTCGGGGTTGGGCGCGCCTGGGTTCAGACCAAACAGGCGGGTGAACTCCAGAAAACCATCCGTGGGATCCGCAGCCTTCCGCGAACAGCAGCCTGGGTTGCCTAGTCAGTGTAGCAAGCGGCACTGTAAAACCAACGCATTGGACCCGGAAAGGAAACTCCTAAGGACATCTCAGTGGCTCGAGGTTTGGGAAATTGGTCTCTTCAGCTTTAGAAGTGGCCGCTTGGAAGGCCACGATTGTTACCGTGGTACTATGGTTGTTTGCCATCGGTCGGTTTCTTTCGGGCACCAAGAAGATAGGTGCGTGTTCTTGAGTCAAACCGGGACCTCTGACAGAGGTCCACCGGTTTTTTTCAACAAGTTTGGGACATGAGTCATATCAATATCATGAACCAATAAGACCAACTGCCAACTGAGAGCGGTCACTCTGCCAAACACCTCTGAGATCTGGACGCCGACGCCCTGAACGGCCACCCCACCGGGGCTTCGAACGGTGTGCGTGACGAGTCAGGGCCGAGAACAAGCACAAGAAGAACCCCCAAGATTTGGCGCAGAATCATCGGCTGAAGCAGCTCTTAAAGCCGTCCAGCTCGTGGTTCCACAACGCCGAGGACTTCAGATTTAGAGTGGCCATACTGCCATGCTACTAGGAACAAAGGGCATCGCTACGAACGTAGCGATCGAACGCTACCATCGGGGCTCCTGGCCATAGAAACGAACGGAGAGGCCGTAGCCTACGCGATGTGTTTCGGGAGGCAAAAGATCTGGTCATCGGTGAAGTGCTTTTCACCCAAAGAAGACACCGGAATTTGTGTCGCAAATGTTCAAGATGCAGAGTGCTGGCCGTGGTCTATGGAATTTGCCAGATCAGATGTTCAGCACGGGGTTGAGAGAACCGAGTACCAGCATCGGCAAGGTATTGATGAGAAGGGGGTCTCTGAACCATCCTCTAGGTCCCCGAAAACATTATCATGAACATGCACTCTCCGACAAGTGCTTGGCCGGGCCGGGCCAGACCTCGGCAAGAAACCATCCACCATCATTCACCACACTTGAATTGGTTCTGCTTGACCAGCATTGTCAGTGTAAGTGGAAATTGTAACTGGCCTAAAAATTATATAATAGTTTGAGTTTCCAAGACAGAATTACTATTTTGTAGTCTACCATACCTTCTCCAGCTAAAATACACAAAGGTTGTTTGGTCTTTACCCAAAATCGGTGGTTGGAATTGCTGATGCAAGAGTCATCAGGAAGCTAAACTGATCATCCCCTAAACATCATGTGCCATGAAATCACGAAAGGTAGCCTCAGGCTACCTGAGTCCTCCTTGCTTTAGCGAGAAAGTATCAGTATTACAATCAGGACTTGGTGCTGTGCATAGAGTTTGGTCCTGTAAAAAGGGATTCTGTTCGACAGGGGGGCCCGCTTTTTGGGTCACATCCATCCACCTTTGACTCTGACGCCGTCATGGACTTCTATCATTTCGTTCACCCCCTCCTCTCTCAAGTATCATTTGTCGTCAATCTCCGGAAAACATCTCCACTGTCGAGTTTGCCGAAAGAACAATTCAGCAGCAACACTTCCAATTAATTGCAGTCTGTAGAGTTCATTTTCAACTTCGTCCCAGGCATGACCTGTTTGGGACTGCAATAGGGACTCGCATTTCACATGGACCAATAAAGCGCCCCAACTGCAAACTGATTAGTACGTATACCAGTCCAGCAGTCCGGATAGTCAGGGTGTTGGAGTCTGTTGTCGATCTCCAGACCTGGCCAGGAGGGCACCACCTCTGACATGGGCTCCTACCGGCCGCAGGCGCGAGGAATCTAGTCGCTGCAACAGACTGCAGAAAACTTGCTACACCTGCCGTACAGAGCTAGAGAGGTTACGTAGGAGTTACTTGGCCAGTGCGTATCCATTGAGCTTGTGGGTCCTGGATACCCACAAGTAGTAACACATGCACCAAGTGGCTGCTCAAAACCCAACACTCATTCCCTGGTAATTCCCATCAGCTTGGTAGGGCCCTAATCAACCCTTGTGGGTGTGGCAGATGTCCAGGTGAGCTCGCATCGCACGTCCTCCAGCATCGAAGTGCCCGGTCGCAAGCACTGGCCGGGTGGTCGAAGGATCACCGACCTCTCTCTGATATGTGGGTAGCATTTGTGCACTCCAGTGGATGATGTGGATGCTACGGCAGTTGCTACGGCATACTCTTCGATCGTGGTTCACGTTTGAGTCTCGCCGGTGCTTTTCTCTTGAATTCGTTCTACGTACACCCCTTATTTGCAACTCGGTAGTTGCATTTTTGCCTTTGTACCTGGAGCGGTCTCTGGATCATGGACACAGGATGACATAGATGTTTTTTCTTGGCAAGGCCTTTTGTTATGAACCACCGGAAAACGGATCTGGTTTGACGCGTGGTTTTATCGGCCCAAGTTGCCTCGTTTTGGCCTTTGGATGTTTCAGGATTTTTCAGATGGGTGATGAAGCTATAGTTCGTTTTGGTGAAACAGCAGCTTTGATAGGAAGATTGGGGACAATTTTCAACAAACACACGCTCCCATGGACCTAAGTCTTCCAAACAAAGAGACCCAACATGGAACAAAATAAGTAAAAGAAGAATTCTCCCAGGCATTCACTGAAATCAGGTGTGGCTCTCGGTGCCGCTGCACATCTCCCGCAAGCGTGTGCACCTGCGGGCGCCCGGGCTGTGCTCCTACGTGGCCGCCAGCTGCGGAGGCGCCTTGGGACGCTTGTGCCTCATCACGGGTGACGAAGAAGCCGATCAGAACGAGGAGAGGCACAAGCGATGACCGGAAGACATGGGTCCCGGTCCCGGTGCGAGGGGACGGACGGGAGACGGGCAACGAATTGAGGCTTGAAATCGTGGGTCTTGGAGCGACCAGGGAGTGGGAATGACTGAGCAGAGACGAAGCGACAAGCAGTCATGGACGTGGAAGCTGAGAAGATATGATAGAAGAAGACGACTTGATTTTTGATTTTTTTTTGATTGTTGTTGACTTGTTGGTTTTCAGAAGGGTCACGAGTCACTGGCTATAGTACTGGGAGACCTGGCTACGAGTCGACGAGTCCGAGCTGAATCGCGAATCTAGGAGCTGCAGCTAAGCGATTTGGTGCCCATTGACAGGATGGGGAACCAAGTGCCTTTCAACCAGGCACGGTGGAGTTCTTCTTTTTCCTTTAAGGCTTGGCTGCTTCAGGATAATCAGGGTTCAGGATGGTTCATGATTACTATACATATTACTACTGTATAGTACTACAGTACTACAGTCAGAATTGTGGTATATATACTTATGTAATTATGTAGCAACACAATGGTGTTAACCTTGCAAAGTACCTTGCAGTGTCGGATGCAAGAGGTGATCTTCATTGTGAGGCGGCCAATGCTTTGTTCGCCCATTTTCTTCGCCCCATGCGGACACAGCCACAGACGGGCGGTTGCAGCACGCCCCGGACAGGCGATCATTGGGGAGGGCGCCTTTGGACAGGTCTTCCGGGCGAGACATCGGCGAAGAGAGACCTTGTGGCTGGGTGGAAAGTGACTGAGTGGGCTGATTCCTGAGTGAGTGGGGAACTTCGTTTCCGCTACACTCAGGTACAGTAGATTCGGGAAGAAGAGGCTACAGAGCCCGGCACCTTGCAGAGTCACCAGCCCGGCAATGCACAGAACACACCCGCACCTGACACGCCTTCGCCCTCCTCGGCGAACCGTCAGACGCCGAGGTATGCCGTGAAGGTCTTCAAGACCCAACGCTCCCAGCGGGGCGTGTCGCCGGAAGTGGCCCGGGAGTGCGAGGTGGGAACGCATGTGCGACAAACCCCGCATCCCTGCCGCTTGGTGCAGGGCTGGGGGATGCTGGGGGAGGGGCTCTGAAGAGTCTACTGAAGGGGCCGGAGACCCAGAGACCAGAGAGGCCCTTTCTCGAGTCCTCTGGCGACACTGGGCCTCTTGAAGCCCTTGTTCGAGAGGACCAGGGGGAGCGGGGCGCTTCGGACGCTGACGCTGCGGAATCCGGGAAGTGATGACGGGAAGGTGACGAAGGTCGACGTTGTGGGCCAATACGGGTCAAAGGGTCATTCCAGTCATGCCACCAAACGCTTCCTGAAACCATGGGTTGGGTTAGCAGTTCGGTTGACAAGAGTCCATTTAGCTCACGTTCAGGGTTCTTCAGGGCAGTTGGACGTTGCCAAGTTTTTCGCTGACGTCGTCTCCTCTCGCCACCCGAACGGCACGCTGTCTCGAAACAGCTCGGCGAAGGCATTGTGAAGCTTCACATGGTCACCTTCGATGAAGACTTGGGGCTCTACACGCTGGTGATGGAGTTTTGCCCCAGCAACCTCTTTCAGCAAGTGCATACGGCAACTGGGCTTGAAATGAATGGACAAGGAGTCCTTCAAGAAGATGAAGATGAAGAGCCGACGGCAGCGGGTTTCTGCAAGAAAGCAGAGATCAAAGCGCATCAAAAGGGTGGGTTACACTCCCACACTTCACGTGGAAGTGGCGTTCAGCTCCTGTTTGAAAAGGGATCACGCCCTCCACTTCCATGTGTTCCCAATCCGATTGCCGTAACGGGCCGCCCAGATACCCGTAGCAGCTACGCGGGCAATTTCCCTCAAGGTGGCAGTCTGGTAAGTGTGGTAGTCTAGTCTAGCATTGAAAGGAGCCTAGGAAAAAGCTGCAATTTATATAGCTGTCCTTTCCTCTTTGGCAACATGCAACGTTCGAAGGGAAGACCTCTTTTTAGAACCCTGACAATTGTTGGGACTGCCATATTTAACTACTTTTCGGTGGTCTTATTGGTCAATCTACGCATTGGTAGGTGTATATTCCATTCCCAAACAGGTCCTGTGTTTGGGGAAATGCAGGTCCCTCAACGGCGGGAAGTCCCGTGCACGAATCCGATTCGTGGCCAGTTGTCCAACACATCGCCCGTGGAAGTTGTGATCTTCGTTTGGTTAGAGTCTTGTTCTGATTCTTGCCAGTGCATGACTTTGCACATTTTTATCGCCTTTTTGAAATCGAATCTAGCAACCGATGCAAGCAAGAGACTTGGCGTGGGGCCATGCAAGAGACTTGCGCCTATGGGATTGCAGGAACATTTGTGTAGAAATCACCCCTCGCAATCAATCAGCGGATTCAACTGTCAGGCAGGCGAACATTATCGAACAGTTGTCGGTGTAAAAATTCAGAGACATCCCCTGCTTGACAGTTGAATCACACCTCCCCCAGTCCTGGACGTCTTCGACTTGCTCCACCGGGACGACGTGATCCTGCTCTGGGTTTTCTCCATCGGAGCGTTTTGATTTGCCATGTTTTGAGGCAAATCTGGAAGCTCTGTCCAAGTCGACGCATTATAAGCCCATGCCGCAAACTCTCGATTGGCTTGGCCAGGTCTTCCTAGGCTTCTCGGCGATCCGATTCGGGTGGGCGATCCCATCTGATGGGCGTCTCTTCTGTTGATGGAAACAATACAAAGAGGCTTCGGAAGAAGAATTAAGGGAGGGTTGCACCAAGATGTCAATATGCCAGGTGTCCAGGTGTTGCTTTTGAGCAACACATCATCTTGCAGGAAATGCTTGCATCCAAACTAAGTGAACCTGTCAGGGGGAAGATAGGGGAAGGCCCAGGCTGACTTTGGACAACTGGTGTCGGCTCAGAGTGATCACGAAAGCTAGCATGCTAGCTGAGTTCTTCTTTGCTTTAGCAATTGGTAGTGGAATGAGCTGCGTGCCTTAAAGCTTGATATATCACGCTAAGGACCCCCCCCCTACCCCCCCCCCGCGGTTCAACTCCCAGCTGCAGGCGTTTTGGCATTAGTGGAGGTGTTGTTACATGTTGGAAATTGTTGGTGTTTTGTTTGGTATTTTGGATTTTGGGGTGTGCGTTCAAAACCAGGATGTCAAAGACATCATGGACTTGAATTTTGGATGATCCTGGATAGCGGAAACACATGTAATTATTGGAGAATCAAAATGACACTCATGGTCTTTTGCCTGCGTTTTTGCAAAGAATCCACTGATTTAGTGTTGGTATTTAGGATTCATTGACGAGCTTTGTCGGAAGCATGGTCAGCTTCGTCGGAAGCATGATCATCTACTCGTTTTTTCTTGTGGATGCATCACATAACATTTCGGCTGCGCCTCGTCAGTTGATGAAACTTCATTACCTGAGAGCAAAGTGTTTGAATTTACTGTCTTGGACATGTGTGGTTTGGCAAAATCACGAAAGCTAGCATGCTAGCTGAGTTCTTCTTTGCTTTAGCAATTGGTAGTGGGATGAGCTGTGTGCCTTAAAGCTTGATATATCACGCTAACCCCCCCCTCCCCCCACGGTTCGACTCCCAGCTGCGCCGTGTAGCGGGGGTTGGTTGAACGTGTGAACGTGGTTGGTTGGGTGAACACGGTGGCTTGGTGTAAACGGTGCTGCTGCTCCCGCTTTGCTGCTTGCTGCTGCTGTTTGCTGCTGCCGCTGGTTGCCGCTTTTGTAGCTGCTTTGCTACTTGCTGCGGCTTGGTGCTGCTGCTGCTGTTGCTGACGACACCGCTGCTGCTGCTGCTTGCTGCTTGCTGCTGCTGCTGCTACTTGCTGCTGGTGGTGCTGCTGCTGCTGCGGCTTGGTGCTGCGCTGCTGCTGCTGCTGGCTGGCTGCTGGTTGGTGGTTGCTGCTGGCTGCTGGCTGCTGGCTGCTGGCTGCTGGCGGCGGCGGCGGCGGCGACAGCTGCGGCTGCTGCTGCTGCGGCTGGCTGCTGCTTGCTGCATAGGACTTGTACTTCACTGTTACAAGTTCTTTACCCCTATTGCATGCATAAGCGGGTGGTAAATTTACCCCCCAGATTTGCCATAGGGCCAGAACCATAAGCCGGCTATTTCCTCCGACATTCTACTCCTGATACCTTTTACCAGTGCTTGTCCTACACTACGGACGCCCTAGTGTATGCACAGTCCTTGTGATGCTTACCCCTTTTTCCGGCTCAAGGCATACATAAGCGGGGGGTAAATTTACCCCCCAGATTTGCCATAACCATAAGCCGGCTATTTCCTCAAGACACTCTACTCCTTATAGCTTGTACTCGTGCTTATCCTACACTACGGACGCCCTAGTGTATGTACAGTCCGTGTGATGTCAGAAATGCTTACCCCTCTTTTCCGACTCAAGGCATACAAAAGCGGGGGTAAATTTAACCCCCAGATTTGCCGATCACGCATCTTCGTGCCTGCCAACGAGTGCACCCGTGTTGTTCCAATGTGCCCTTCCCAGTCGGCGATGTCACATTTACATTCTTTAGCGCAAAGTATGTGCGTAGCAACCTTTCTCCCAACACATGTAATCACTACATGCTTTGCCGACTATGTAACTAGTACATCCGGTGCGATTCGGCTAGCTTTCGACCTCCTCCCCCTGGCCTCAAGTACTATGATTCTTGTGTGCGCTTCCGCGTCATGATTGATTCTGTATGATTCTGCAGATGTTGTTTTGCAATCTTCGAATAGCTGTCCATTTACCCATGGACAAGATTAGTCAGCAGTGTATGGCTAGCCATGCTGGACCTGTTTCGCAGAGATCTCATGAAATCTCCAAATCCATGAGTGGAACTTTTCATCATTATTCCATTTGGATGGGAGATCCCCGTTGATTCGAACAAGAGATGGTGTCCAACTGCCTACCCACAAACCTATATAGACGACCACTGGTCTGACCACGACCTCAACCACTGAATTAGTTTTGTCCAACAGTCAGACTGCTATAGGTGATGTAGAAAACAATAGAAAACAACTAAACCCATGGTTTCGAGGTGGTCCATCTGTTGGCTCTTTTTTTTTTTTTCAACGGGTCTTCTGCCGACCCCTGTGAGACCCCACCCTGAGGCCTCGAACACATGCATCATCGCCTGAACATGCTCTTTCGGGATTTGAAGCCTGCGACTCTTGGCCAATCGATGTGGGAATGGTTGATGGTCCATGATGGCCCTCCCGGCCCTGTCCGAGCCCCGGCCAGGACATCATCCCAAGAGTCCAAGAGTCCATGGGGCACTGTCAGCCAGCCCCTATATATTCGGATAAGATTCATCTAGAATCTATGGCTTTTGGTCGCCCTCCCCTGGTTCCTTTAGCCTGGGGGCCACCGTGACCATTGAGTCATACCCAGAGAGCTCAGGTTTGCTTGCTCTACGTACTACACTTGGCAGTTCTGTCCCCTAGCCAGATATGTATCGAAGCCAGACACTCCATCAGATACATTGAAATGCAGAACACATCAGAAAACCATTGCCGAGCATATCCGAGCATTCTTGTACTCTATCACTTGTTTTTGCACATGTTTGCATCTTACCCCTCGGCCATGTGCTGTTTGATTCGTTCAGATTTCATCATGTGGACCGCAGATGTCGCAGGATCGATATATATATATATAATATATATAACGTGACGACACCACCTATGACTCTAGAGTCCGTCAGAGACTGAGCGGATGTCATCGCCGATCTATGGCGCCCCCCCAAAAATATCAAGGAAAACGACTCTCTACCCTTTTAACAAGAGCACTGGTATTTGTGGTGCTTTGTAGCTGAAAAGTTTTGGGGTGTACTGGGTACCGGGGTTAAGTCGTTTGGTCTTGTAGAAAGTCGCTTGGAAGCTGCGTGGCCTTGCAGAATCTGTGTCTCAACAAACTCTTTTTGAACTTTGTTATCCCTGCAACAACCGTCTTTTTTGTAGCGTGAACAGGCACAAGTTTCTTGAGGCTGGACGTGGGATCTGGATTGCTGCTTTTTTTCTTTTTTTCTGCGACCCCGGTGACTCAACCCCCGCCCGGCACTATGGATTTGCTGCTGCATTTTTTAGGGTTGGAGGGAGTACCATATCATATACAATAGCACAGTATCAGTACAATACAGCAGTTTAAGACAAACCAATCAATACCTTACACACAATTCTTGCCGAATGCATATGTCATGTGAATTCATTGATGCCCCCCTCAAAGTTTGCAAACGTTTTGGATTCAAGATTCAATATGCTGAGGAAAACTTAAATCGAACATAATCCAACCCCTAGAGTCATGATATCCGGGGCTGGGATTCAAGAAAGTTGCCTCAGCATGTTGAATCTCGATTCTTGAATCCAAGACTTAGATTCAACAAGTTTTCATCTTAAATCTTGAATCCAGGACCTGTGCAAACGTTTGGTCTCTGCAAACCTGAAGTCTTGAGGAAGCATGTAGCCGTGCTGCGATATATGTTTGCGGCAATTGCCTTTCTATATTAGCTTCGCAAAACAGCAAGTTTCAGGAAGCATGTACTTTTACCTCCTGAATGGTAGCAGTGCTGCTCTACAAATTTGAGGCACTGCCCTTTTATACTTTTATACTATAGTTGTTGTAGCAATGGCCTTCAGTGTCACTGGGCAAGTTCGCTTCCAGCAATCGAAGGTATCTTGATTGCTCAGCAGTGAGCCTTTTTGTTTGTGCCGTTTTGTACCCCGGAACGCCTATGTGTTCCCACTACAGGTACTCGTACTTCACTACCCACAGGTAGATCAGCTTGTCAGAAGGGCCTGTGCACATCCCTCACACAGAGACCTTGATTCTGACCAAACACCCGGCTCACCCTGAAGAGTTTGACCAAAAAGAGGGCGCCAGGCCCAGGATTGGACACGGGAAAGACACCCTTCGAGTGCAAGAGAATGCCATCTTCCTTTTTCCACAGATCGAGTCTGCCAGATCGTATAACTTGAAATTGCATTGAGCTCGCAGGTCTGTTTCTGCTCTGCTTTTTGCTCACCTCAATGCTCATCTGAAGGTCTACATTGTTTACATAGATCCCATACGAAGCCTGCTTCTGCTCCTCTGCTTTGTCCTCTCGAATCTTCTTCGATCAAGAGGGTAGCCGGGTAGCATATATGCAAATATGTTGCTATTCATTCCCGAGCCACTTGGTCACCCCGACCTTAGACCCTACCGCCCGATCATCATAGGCTGAATGCGTACATCATTTGAACAGCAAACTCTTGGCTTTGCGCTGGGTTTTTCTGCGCCTGCGCGGGCCAAACCAGCGCAACAGCGGCAATGGCTCAGACCGAAAACGAGACGTCTGAAGTTTGTCGCCCAGCCAATGTCGTGTTCTCCGATGCAAATATTTTCAGATATGTCATGCACATCCGCTCTGGTCTCTGGGTGTTTGTGTTTGTAACTTCTCTTGCCTCTTGCCAGGCAATCCTGGCCACTTGTTTCGGTCGTGGCCGATGGCTGTGAAAACATGCCGACCAAGTCGCCGGGGGAGTTCCAATTCTGTCCAAAAGGTCCGCTTCGTCGGTGCCTGGACGAGTTTTTATAAAAGGGATTAAAAGGGCGCCCAAAAAATAGATTGTGAGTTTGATGTTAAAAGCAGTTCAATTATGTTCAATTATATAGTTTATTATGCACGTATAGAACATATATAGCTATATAAGTTAATGACGAGTTCCCCACTGGAACAAAAGCAATTTACAAAAATCGAAAAAAGAGGTGCATTGAGGCTCAACTTTTTCTTGAAATGGAACATTTCCGCAAGGTTCGCCCACTGTGCCACGTGGCCTTGCCAGGAAAGGATATTGAAATGCAACAACTTGGAAGTCCACTATATAATGTCCACGATACGCCATGGTTTTGGAATGTTCCGAGAAAAGCCTTCTAAGATTCAACCAAACACCAAAGTCAGATGATTCAGACAATGGGCGAGGCAAGAGAGGGGAGCACAAAAAGGATGTGAGGAAAGAACAGGAAAGGATATATATATATAAGGAGATGAGAGGGAAGAACGCGATTAGCTGCTCTTTGTGCCGTTCCCGCCGTCATTTTCCCCAGCCCCATAAACTGTTTCGCATCCTTCTCGCCAAGTCATTCTGAGTTTGAGCATAGTACTTAGCAACACCCTGCGCCCTTCTGGTCAAAGCGCAGCGCTTTTTAGGGGGACCTACCGCGGTTTGAGCACGTGTGCTTTCCACAAGGTTGCCGGTGCTTTTCATTCTGTTCTGACCGCGCTTCCATCAAAGTTCCGTTCCAGTTCCCCGGGGAAGGCGAGGCGTTTAACCGCCGCGAACCCGGTCACCTTGCGCAGCGTTCGCTCGCTTCGGCGAGGAACGTGATCCTGGACAGCGCCTTGTGCGCCAAGCTGGCGGACTTCGGCTCGGGGCGCATGGGCCCCAGCGCTGGGGCCTACTCTTTCGGTCATCCCGCGGGAACGATGGGCTACTGCGCGCCCGAGGTGGGGAGGAGAGGTTGGGGGGAGGGAACGGTGGGGACGGAGTGTAGAGGAAACACTGATTTGGCATGGGTGGTCCAATTGATGCTGAAGTGCCATCAACAGACAAAACCTATAAATATGATACAATATAGTAATATATAATGATAATTATAATAGTTTAGGAATATAGTAATTCAGTGAAATTCTGAGTTCATGCCTCACGGCCTTATGGCTATGATCAAGTGTAGAACATGTTTCACATGACACGATACCGCAGGCGCCTTGGGCACAAATCTGTCGAGTTTGGTAGCGGAGCCTAGTGCTCCGTTGCCGATCCTTCCAGCGCCGCCATAGGCTGCTGGCGCTCGGCTTGGCTGCTACCGCGAGTTGCGCGGTAGGCTCTGGTCTGCAGGGCCTTTGGAGGAGGAGATCGAGATCCTGCTCGATCGGTGGCAAGAGGAAGTCAGAAGGCTCTGACGAGGACACAGAAAACTACCTCACTTGGGGTTGAGCCCAAGAGGAACAAACAACACAGAAAACTACCTCACTTGGGGTTGAACCCAAGAGGAATAAATACTACATCCTTGAGAACCTCATCACAGGCCCCGTGGACTCCATCGATTACAAGATTGCTGGACTATGAATCCACCCAGCTCTGGGAGCATTCCGCTCCAGGAGTATCGGCGGGACATTCCGCCGGGCTGGATTCCAGGTGATGCTTCGTATCCCTTGAGGACCTACTTCGACAAGCTGAAGCTTTGGTACCGGATCGCCAATGTGGAGGATGAAGCCATCGGTCCACTGGTGGCTGGACGACTCTATGGTCGAGCATCCACGATCGCCATGTCTTTGAGAGTGCCAAGGCCAGACGGCACCTTCGATGTTGGCGATGCAGCGCTGGTTCGACTAGCTGTGGAGGAGGTCCGCGACCCAGCGACCAATGTGATCATCCAGAACCACATCCCTTCAGGAGTGCAATTCCTGGCCAACGCACTCCGCACGGCATTCGGTCAGCAAGACCAAGATCTGGCGACACAAGCACTGGACAAGTTCTTTGGCCTTGCAAGAGGAAAGCTCAGCCTGTCCGAATACAGCGTCGAGTTCGACAGCCGGTACGATGATGCTCATGACAGAGCTGGACTGCAGTTGAACGATGTCGGCAAGTTCTTCCTATGGTTCAAGAACTCTGGCTTGCCATCCAAGACGGTTGATGACATCAAACTGCAGGTTGCTGGCGACTACACTCGCTTCAACGACGCTCGAGCTCTGGCATTGCGCATCAACCCTAATCGGCGAGAACCTGATGACGCCCAGATCCTCTATGAAGAGAATGATGAGTCCTATGGCGACTACGACGCCTACTACCAGGACTGGGGCGATGACTATGAGGCCGAGGATTCATGGTGGTATGGCTATGAAGAGGCCGATGAAGGTGAATGGGTCTATGAGGAGTACGCCAACGACGAGAACTACTATGAGAACCATGATGCCAGCGATGAGTCATGGCAAGAGGTGGACCTTGAGGCTGGCATGACATCTGGTTCAGCAAGCGACTCCAATGTCTCGGGCGAGTACAACGAAGCCTACTACAAAGGAAAAGGCAATGGCAGTGATGACGGTTGCTTCAATTGTGGCAGCAAGTTCCACCGAGTTCGAGATTGTCCACTTGGCAAGGGCAAGAACAAGAAGGGCAGCCACAACTACAAAGGAAAAGGAAAGTCAAAAGGCTTCTGGAGATGGCGACCCAACTTCAAAGGAAAGAGCAAAGGCAAGAGCAAGTATCCTTGGAGAAGCAAAGGCAAAGGAAGAGGAAAAGGCTTTGGTCGAAAAGGCCACTACTACGCCTACCAGGAGGAGGACAACTACAAGCCTCGTGGTGGTCTGTCGATCAGCGAAGGCATTCCTGATGCCTCAACTCCGCAAGAAGTTGCCACAAGCTCCAAGGAGGTCAAGACGACCAAGAAGGCCGAGAGCTTCGTGATCCACACGTCATCCGAGGATGAGGACTTCAAGAAGCCAACTGAGGGATATTCAGGTCAGCCTGAGTATACTACGAAGGATCACTATGACAAGAAGCTCAAGATGAACTTCATGGTCTTCAACATGAAGAAAGAAGAGACACAGATGAGCTACCATACCATCCATGGGCAAGAACGCTATGGTCTGCTCATCGATCCCGGAGCTGCATCCGGGCTGGTTGGTAGCGAGACCCTCAGGATGCTCAAGAGTTGCTCCATGGGCGAGATGGAGATCAACCGCAACAAGATCACTCCAGTTTCCGGCATTTCAGGAAACAGCGAGTCAACTCTCGGAGAGGTCACGTTGACCATGGCGACCGCAGGACAACCCATCACCTACACGGCGGAGGTCATTGGTGGAGCTGGAAGCCTATGCCCAGCACTGGTTGGCAACCCGACTCTTCGTCGATTGGGTGCATCAATCTTGACAGATTGGTTTGAGAATGGTGATGGCATGCTTGTTCTGAACACCAAGGACGCCATGGATGCAGAGGTCAACCACGTGAAGTTCTTCAGGATCCTGCTCACAGATTCTGGACACTACATCCTGCCTTGTGACAACGTTCAGAACGAGAAGGTTCCAAGAGCTTCGAAGCACGAGGCCATCGCTTTCTTCCAGAAGATCACCGAGATCACTTCGAAAGTTTGGCCTGACGTGCAACCACGGGTCAGACACTGCTTCCATTCCCAGACGGCGGCAGAGGATGACCGGTGTGATTACGATCGCGAACATGAACGAGACAAAGGCCCAATGAAGAGGCAAGATCATGATGTTGGTTGTGATCATTTGGCTTGCGAGAACGGAAAAGAAGATGAACTACGGAATCCTGTTCCCTCCAGGAAGATTCACTTCATCGATGAGGAACAGCAGAAGAAGTCCGAGGAGCTCTACGACCTCATGAACAGCGAGAAGAACAAGAGCCTATCACCAATTGCAGAAGAGCGCGACTCCGAGGACGAAGTTTCACCATCAGCCATTTTGGCAGAGCAGTGCATGAAGAACGACAAGAGCAAAGAGCCTGCGAAGAATTCAAACCACTTGATCAACGAGCACCCTGCCGGACCTGCCATTTTGGCCCCGGCAATTCATGACGAACAAGGCCTACGTGAGGCAAGCTATGATGAAGAGAAGAACGTCTTTCTCAGCTACACTGGCGACATGATCCCCGAGACGGCAGATCAAGCCAAGTTGAAGAAACGATACAAAGCAATCCCTGAGGAGTTCTACACCAAGAGCGGATTGACGCCGGTGACTCCCAAGAACTTTGACAGCTGGTTCAAGAGAGTTCGAGGACGAGGATTGCGATGGCACTTCTGGGAGTTGTTCAGTGGCAGTGGAAGATTGTCGCTGACTTTGCTTCTTGCTGGACTCATGGTTGGTTTCCCCGTCGACTACCGGTACGGCTGGGACATGCGGGTAGCAAGCCATCGTGGTATGATCCACGCAGCTTACGAAGAGTTCCAACCTGGAGTGCTTCATATGTCTCCGGACTGTGCACCATGGTCAGTTGCGGCATCTACGAAAGATCCTGAGGAGAAGATGTGTGAACGTCTACAAGATAGACCAGCTCTACAACTATGTCAAGATCTTTCTGCACGACAAGATGCCAATGGCCGTGGCTACAACATAGAACAACCTTATGGAGCACAATCATGGCAAGAACTTCCAGAGAATCCTCTACGACTGCAACGGATTCCTGGCAACAAGAACAGACAGAGAGTGGACCAGTGCATGCATGGAGCTCAAGATGAACACGGCTACCCCATCATGAAGCCCACTGGCTTTGGATCCAACATTCGTTGGAAGCACACTGGACTTCGATGCGGAGGTCATTGCGGTGTTCCACACACTCAGCTCAAAGGCACAGGCCCATCTGGTCTGACCAGGACTTCGATGTCAGCAGTCTACCCAAAAGGAATGTGCCAGCGCATGAAGCAGGACATCATCCAGTACCTGGCTTATATGAACCTACTCAAGCTGAAAACTTGGCCACATGATGCTTACGCAGTGACGCTTGGTCACTACTATGATTGTGTCCGATGCCAGCTTGGACGTCATTGTCCTCGCAATATAGAGCACACTTTGGTGCCTGGACAGTGTCGACATGGACGATGGCCATCCGAAGAAAATCCACGAAGAAAGAAGAAGCTTGAAGCTGAAATGGATGCCATGAAGAAGTGGAAGCAAGAGGCCGAGGCGGAGCTCTATGAGGGCGTGGAGATCAAGAACCTCACCAGCAAAGCGCTCTCCGTGCCAACTACACACATGCTCAAGAAGCTCCTCCTCGAAACCATCAATGCCACTATGGGTGTCTTCAATGAAGCAGCAAGGAGAAAGATCGACTATGTTCACTGGCTGGACAACCCTATGCTCATGAGCCTCTTCAAGGAGTTCTTCAAGGACTTGATTCAAGTCAAAGGAGTGAAGATCGAACTCCGACCTTTCCATCTTGCATCAGCAGAGCCTAAGCTTCCATTGACATCATCATACCTACGGATGCAAGTGAGAGGCAATGTGAAAGCATGGGACATTCACCCTCCAGAGGATTTGCGAGAGATGAGCTTCAGCCAGATCAACGCAGCACTCGACGAGGATGACTGGGCAATCACCATCTATGGAGTGGAGCACGATATGGCACCTTCGCCATCAACACCAGCATCAAGGCCAAGAGCAAGACCTGATGAACCTGGTATCGTGCAGCCTGCCCAGAACCTCGACGAGATGGATGAGAAGAGCATAGCTGATCTCAAGAGAGCACCTTTGACACCTCCAGTAGTACTCGATCGACCAGGAGACCCAGCTGAACGAGATCCAACTCAGATTGCACCTTATGAAGATGAAGAACTGCAGACAAAGTCAGTTGAGGAGATCAAGCCATTGAAGCCGAACTACAACTTGCGAAGAGTGTTGGTTCGCATTCCTAAGCTCATGGAAGACGAGAACCACACGAAGGTCAAGCAACTCCTACTTGGTCTTCACGAGCGGCTTTGGCATTCTCCGAT